ACAAAATCGACTGAAGGATTATTAAGGCTTTTACGAAAAAACCCTGCCTCTTGAAAACCGAAATTCTGGAAATCCGTTTTTGTTCCATTTCAGCCTTGTTTGAGGTGATATTGAAAAAAGAACACTTTCTCGTGGCAACTTTTTGCCCTCTATCGAATGGCAAAATCTATTTTTATATGTAAAGTTTCGTCTCTCCAGGACCATTATCAACTACATTTTTTCAATACGACCCTGGAAATTTTATTACATTTTTTTGCAAGCCTCAGCCCGAACCAGATTCAATCGTTTCGTCTCGAGAAATTCATCAGTAAGTAATGCTCAAAATGTTGTATTAAACAAAATGGAACTCTACTACCCAATTATGTATAAATCACTGAACAAAAAACACCCACTTCCTTTATTTAATTTACTAAGTAGACATATTTAATAGAATTCTCTAATATTTTGATGATTTTATCTCTATCTTCAGAATTCTCTAAAAAATATTATTTTTAATCCAATGTAAAACTAGGGATTCCGAAAAAAATCACTGACAAAAAATAATTTACAATTTTTAAGTCTAGTTAATTAATTCTGACACGCTACATAGGCTGTATTTAAATTAAGGAGCAGAAATGATACCTTATAATTTTGAGATCAAAATAATATAACAAATATACCTTAGCCCAAAGTTACTTCATTTGTGGTTTACAGGCTTGAGATTAAAGATATTATTTTTGAATGATAAACTAATGAGCCAATTTATATTATCAAATGAGAATAGCTTCCACATTAGTGTTGTATAATATTATTTTATAGACTAAAACCAGAAAATTATTAATATTATACTTATGTATACATAGGATTTAATTTATGTTACATTTCTCTTTTTATACTTTATTACATATCGAGGTTATTATGGAGACTCGTGGAAAGAATAGTTTCCGTAAATATAAATTAATAAATTTATTGCATTTTTCTACCTTTCTCTAGCATTAGGTACTGTAATTAACAGTAATATCAAAGTGCTTTCATGTGTCATAACAATAACTTTCACATAACTAGAAGAATATGTTATCCATTAATAAAATTCCACTAGTTAATATTGTAGGTATACCTATCATTTTATACATAAACCTTCAAAAAAGCTCTACAAAATTATTTTAATTTTTAAAATAAATGTATAATAGTAACATATGGAATAGAATTACGACAAAGCATTTTAAAGATGACGCATGAAAATAAAAATATTTAGATTAAACTGATTGTGTAACGGAAGTTTTATAAAACAATACTATTTTTATTTTTTGTTACTCACGTTTGTGTTATACACATGCACCAGATGCATTTTTTTATTATAATATTACTGCTATATTTATACGCTAGTAGAATGTCCAGATTCAAGAGGGCCATACTTTAAGAGTAGCTTCCTTGGATAGAAAGAATTAAACAGATTTAGATCAAATTGCCTTAGTACAATTTTAATACTTCAAAAAGTGACAGAGAAAATATGGAGAAAAAAAGTAGGTATATTTAAAAAAAACCTCATTTCCATTTCTGTCAATGATACAAAAATAAATTGAAAAAAAAATGGATTAAATTTTCTACAAAAGTCATATATTTTTTATGATGTAGATTGTAGACTAATTAACCCTATTCAAATATCAACATTTAATGAGATATAGCCTTTACAATGTGGTTTTGTGAAAGACGAGACCTTCATCTCAATAGGCACTGACTTTGAAATAGAGGTTTGTAGACTGATCTAAAAAAGTTTATTAAAGCCAAAATTTTGCAAAAAGATAAAGTTTAAATAGATTAGAACACATCCAAATATGCAGAAACTGTAGCAGAAAGTTGAAACACATTTTTTTAGCATGAGTTTAGTAAAAGGCAACACAAAAGTATATCTATGTTCGTCTTTAGCTATCCCATAAAGTTTTTAATACCAAAATTTATTAAAAAAAAACTTCTCAAGGTGTCTCATATTTTAATAAAATAAAACTGTAGGTACTAAAAAGTAACTTACTAAATCTGTTTATTTTTATCGAGGAAATCACTCTTGAAGTATTTCCGGACATCGTATAAAAATCATAATTCAAATGAAATTCTTCAAATTAAACTTTTCAACGCAAAATTCATCTCAATATCCAAAAAAGACTCCAACAGTAGTAGAATCAGTTATTTGGTCCAATCCTAAACTGGTATGCATCTTTCAACTGATTGCGCCTGGAATATCTAGAAACCTAGGAGCTTACAATGTTGTGTATTCCAATCTCTTAAGGTTATCAAATTTTGTATTGGCCCGGATGTTATAACGTTATCAATATGTATATATAAAATAACCAGAGGTCTGAGTCAAGTATACTACAACACATTCTTTGAATTGCCAGTCAACAATAACAATATAAGATTATGAGGTTCAACTAATAACTGATTAAAATATTTCTGGAAAAAGAAAATAAGTTTGCACTAAAAAAAAAACAACTAGGTACTTATATTATCAGCTTCTAAAAACATAAAAGCATGATAACTGTAAGTGCACACTAGAACCTTCTAGCTCAAATATTTAGTTTTAACAGATACCTTGTAGTATAAAAAATATTCTGAATCAATTCTTTCCATCAGTCAATATGAAATTTAAATTTTATACTTCAAATTATGACTAATGGAAAGCCCATCATTTTCAGTCAAAGAATATGTGGGTAATGGCTTGGCCTACTTTTTTAAAACAATTAGGTATATTATAACGATTATATGTAATAAAAAATATACTATGAATCAATTTTTTTCTTTTTTGGTCATATTGTAATCTTAAAAACAATTAGTAAATAAAACCCTGTGCACAAAAAATAAAAAGTACTTGTGAAAAGAAATAATTTCAGGCAATATTAGTCAAAGTAATATAAAAAGTGTTTTACGTCAATAGTTATTAATGTTAATAGTGCTGATGTTACCGACAATATCCCTGAGAAAACAACATTTTGCTAATTAAATATAAAAAAGCAATTATCTTTTCTATCGTGGCAAAAAAAAGATATAATTGCATAACTAGCTCCTAGGCAAGTATATGACTAGACCTTTATCTATACTTAAAATGTTCACTAAGGTTCTAACCTCTGGCCTTGGTAAGAGGTTTGTTTGTCAAATTTTTTCTCTTAGTATAGAGAAAATTTCTTTTGTTGTGGTTTATATTAATTAAAAATTTAGACAAAGAATTGGCTGCCTACCAAATAACTAATAATAATCTCTGTCTCTAAGCTTGATCATGTGTCTGCTCCATAACTACTATAGATGGGACTCCTCAAATGTATAACATTTATTTCCCCCAAACACAATAATTAAGAGTATTGTTTTGAAATCAAGAAAATTTGTAGTTGTTATTCTTTACCTACTACTTTTTTCTTTAATAATAAAATTAATTGATACAACATTAACATTTAAATCCCTATAATTATTCTTAATGAATTGTTTTTAATCTTTAATATAATTTTTTTCTATCCTAATGATAACACATATTCATCAAAGCTATTGCTGAGCTCAGAACTAATTATACACATTATTTTTAGAAATAAACTTTCAACTCCCTATCATTATTATTTATTACTCGACAATAAATAGTCCAAAGAGACCACTGAAAGACATATATCCCTTTCCAGAAGTTGTATTTTTTTATATCATAAATATAGATTAGATATGTTTCTGCAGCCTATTATAGGGTAAAAAAAAAAGACATACACCACTGAGAAAGAGGAAAATCGCTTCGTTACATTCTAAAGTTTCTCAGAGCCAACACTTATCTATTAATATTACAAAATTAAATTCTCAATTTAAATAGCAAGTAGTACTGAAACATTAATTTAAGCCCTTAAAACCAAGGATACAGGTACCTATACGATTAAAACAGCAAAATAAGTCAAGATTTAAAAAAATAGAGTACATAGGTACAGTTGAAAAAATGGAAACTTCTTTATTATTTTATTAAAAATATATACTTATTTTTATTAAAAGTTGTGTGTCCAAATATGTAATTTTTTAAGTATAAGACACATACAAAGTGTAGCCTCCATAAATAAATGGTTGGAAATATATTAAGTAGGTAATTGATTCTATCCTTTGAACTCGTTAATACATTAATATGCTGTCAGTACAGAAATACATCCCCAGATTTAACTGGTTTATAAAAAAATTTCGGTTGTTATTTGGAATTTCGAGAAATTATTCTGCATGATCAAAAAGTCAAAATCAAGTACTGGGCTGAATTTTTTACTAGTTTATATTTCTACTATTTGAGCTCTAAAGTTTTAATTCAACAACTCTTCTAATAAAATCTTACTATATGAAAAAGGCACTTTACCTATAGAGAAAATATTTTTGTCACATCAATTTTCAAAGATAAAATTCATTACTAGTTTTTTTTTTGCTAAATTTCTGTATATATTGACCCACTTAAAACTATATTTAAACACACTGCATATGTGCCTAGTTAATATAAGTATGCAGCGTAATTAGTTTTAGACACAATATCCTCAAAATAAATACATTTATTGTTGTATAAAACAGTTTTACTAGTAAAATGTTTATATCATAACTAAAAATTGTTTTAAACAGATAATATGTAGATAGATAGGTACCTCCGTAATAGGTAGGTATTTATTTAATACTTAATCGTACTAAGAATATTACTACGGGTGGGTTAATACGGAATAATATTTTTCTATTTAAAAAAATGAATACTTAAATACATAGCAAGGAAGCTTTTTGTAGTTTAATCATCGGCAATACCCATGCAGGCAAAGATATGAATAAAATCAGAAACTGTGACATACCTAAGGAAACATATTGTTTATGTGAGCCATATTTATTAACAATGTTGCTTTTAAACACAAATTTTGCAAATAAAAATAATGCCTAATATTTACAGTAAATAAAGCATAGATTTTAGATTTGATAGTTTCTCTCAAAATGGATTAAAGCATAAACATAACCTAAGAAATAAATAATATGATCTTGAATCTTACCACCGATAAAGACTGAATATGTGACGTGGGCGAAGTAATTAATTCTTCACAATGACTTCTGCTTCTTTTTCGAGACATCGCAATTCCAGTACCATTTATATTTGAATGAAAATCTGAAAAAAAAACATTCTAACCTATATTTTGTAATAGTATATAAAAATATTTAAGAGGTAAAAATGAATAGGTAATTACACACGTCTGAGACAAAAAAAGCCACATATTAAAGGCATCACTAGTTTTATTACAATACTGAAGACGATTCATGGTTTCATTGGCCTTGTTAACTAATTAGTTACATTTCTAAATAAGTTCAAAAGTAATTTAGTTCATTGAAAATCTTACCTAACATTGAAAATGATGTAATTTACAGCACTTAAAAAAATATGAGACGTATAATAATTATTATCGAGACCCTAGTGTTAACACAATTTTTGCACAGTTACCGAAGATAAGGTTTTCTTGTAAAATGTGGTTCGATATTTTCAATGACCGATTTTACTATTATTATAACTTATCACTATACTTTCTCCAACACTGAGTCACCTCAATGATGTAAAACAAACTGTTTTGAGTGTTCTGCTACCTCGTATTGCCGTATGTACACTGCTGGTAATGTACTAAATAAAATGACTTGGAACGGAACTAGGTACCTGCATTATAACTCCACGTTCTCGTTCATTCTAATCGGCTGTCACGTCACTTAACATTGGATTTCGAATTGCTGTTGAGCCGGTTGGATAATAGCCAGATTTTACTGTTTCTACATAAATTTGATAACTTAGAAATAAAAACTGATTATATTCATTTTTTCTTCATAAGTACATAGCTGCAGAGTGCAGAAATGTGCATTTCTGTTGTTTTATTTAAAATTTCCTATTGATTTTTTAAAACGTCGACAGGCGCCACTGCTCACGTGGCTATAGTGACGTCGATCGTATGATCTGTTCGAATTTCGGACTCTAGGATCTTACGATATGCTATTTTTCTTACATAATTACCTATCTAATCATTAATTCATATCTGCTTAACCATGAACCTGAACTTAAAAAAAAATTATTTATAAGGTATACCGAATCTAGTCTTAATTTTTTATATCTTTGAATTGAATAGAAAATGATTATTTCACATTCAAGTGTATACCTAAAATAAATATAAAGGTAAATGCATACCTATACCTACCTACTCTTACTGCGCCTACAATAATTTCTATAATAATATGCATACCTAGGTAGATATGGCAGAATTTAGGAGATGGGCAATAATTATTATACTTACTTAAACAGTATAGTAGCTACGGGAACTATACCTAATAATGTAGGTACTTTATCTACCTACTTTATAATGCGGTCTATGATGCGTCAAAATTTTTATTAAAACCATGGGCGTAGCTACACTTTTTGCTTGGGGTGGGCCCAGGGCTACAAGCTCTATGGAAGCCTCTAAAAAAATAATATCGCATCTTTTTTCTTAGGTGGACATCAGATTCTCTGGGGTAGGCCGTAAACACCACTGTTACGCTAGCATGTACCCCCCTAGCTATATCCATGGTTGAATCGACTTTTTAAAAATTAATAATAATAATAATAATAATAATAATAATAATAATAATAATAATAATAATAATANAAAAAGTAGGGGTAGCTGGGGGTTAGGGGGTTGAGGAAAAATTAATTATTATATAACCGAAAGATGGGAAAAAATCAAAATCAGTTAACGTGTTTCGGCGTTTTAAAAAAAATTAACTCATTCAAAAGATATTAATTTTATTCCGTACTTTTGGCCATCCCTGTATATCTATATATCTGTGTGCTAGCTTGAATACATTAGTTTAATGATTTGTGAATTTGTGAGTAATATGTCATACTCGTTTGTTTTTGAAAACCCCAGGGCGCGCCACTTGTTCCCGGTCTTAATGGCTGTGGTCCCTTCGATGTATGCCTTGTAAGTTCTACGGGGTCTTACATACGCTTCGATTGCCACATACTGGGTGGTGTTGAGGTAGGTGGCATAATAATAGTATTACTCACACACCCGGTAGTTGGGATGCTAACTAGGTGGCATCCAGAGGAGCCTCGACTTATTTTTTTAGGTAACACTAGCTTGTCGTTGAAGAAAGAATGATACATATTTGCTAATTAATATAATGGAAACTTATGGAAGGATATACCTTGAATCCTAAGGTTAGGGGGAGTATAACCCCCAGTGAGTTACCCACTTATTTGTTTTTTTAATGATAGAACAGTAACTTTGATATTTCTTTCGTATACCCTCTTAACACGTTCACTGCGTTACCAGTCATATGTATCTGGTAAGTAGCTTTCCGTAGTAGCGGTATAGAAATCTTACATTCTCGTCCATCTAGCGGGGACAACAAAGCATTCATTACTAGAGATAGAGTTATGTTACAGGTACCTGCATGATTCTCAGGATCTGTACTACCCATTTCTGCAATCTAGTGCTACCAGACATCTGTGTCCGGTAACGCACTGCGCAAAAAAATTATCCTGTTATTAAACTACCAGATAGACGTATCTGGTAGCATTATTTGTGTTAATTTTTTTTTACTGTTTCAAAATTTATGTGTGAATTATGACTTCCCGAGGTAAAAAAATGGTTAATTTGGTATGTGAACAGCAATATAATTTACCAGAAATAGAGATTGAGAAAAGTTTAGAGTCAGAAGTGCCATATAACAATAATGTTGTTATTCAAGAAGTAGATTGTGGTTATGTTCCTTGTAGTTCGCTAGCTGTAACTAAAAATAAAAATGACCTAGATCGGCCTAGTGCCTTACCGGAAATTGAGGTAGAGGAAAATATAGAACCTGAGATGCCAAATGAGAAAGTATTACAAAAGGATGTTACTCAACAAGAAAACTCGAATGCTGATAGTGCTTCTAGTACTTCAGGTATTATTACTAAGAATAAAAGCAATCAGCGTGATTTTTCAAGTGATACCGAGTCAGAAGTTGATCCATTTGCTAACTCTTCGGATGAGGACCCAGATTATTTTCCTAGTGATAACAATTCCAGTTCTGATGTAGAGCAACTGTCCCAAGAAATAGAGTCAGACGATGAAGCTGAAACTGATGATTCAGAAGAAGAAATTGGGGATATAAGCGGTAAGTTTATAATTCATTAAATAGTGATAAAGTTTATAACTTACTTATTTCATTATTAGGACCAGATGTGTGGAGCACTGTAAAGACAACTAGAAACTTTCATATTGTTGAACATTCTATCGACTGTAAAATTAACATTGAAAATCAGGATGGTTTATCTCCATTAGATATATTTTCTCTGTTTATCACAGATGAGATTCTAGAAAAGATTGTAGTGGAGACGAACACGTATGCTCAACAACAACTATTAACACAACGTAGAACACCAAAATCACGACAAAATACCTGGACTCCAACTAGAAAGGGCGAGATGAAAAGATTCTTCAGTATAATTATCTGCATGGGCTTGGTTAAAGTTCCTAATATTAATCTGTACTGGTCAAAAAACAGTTTTAACCATAATCAGTTCATTCCGTCTGTGATGCCCAGAGACAGATTCTTGTCATTACTTCGATATTTGCATTTTAACAATAACGATGGTTTACTAGAAAGTGACGATCGGTTATACCGAATAAGGCCCCTTCTGGATATGATCAATGCAAGATTCATGACTGTAATGACTCCTGGAAGGGACGTCGTTATAGATGAAAGTATGGTGCCTTGGCGTGGTCGCCTAGGGGTGCGGCAATATATTAAAAATAAGCGCCATAAGTATGGCGTCAAATTGTATAAACTCTGCACCGTTACAGGATTCACTTACAATGTCAGAGTGTATTGTGGGAAAGAGGATTCAATCGGAAATAAAGACCATTCCCATAAAGTAGTTTTGAAATTAATGTCTGGGTTGCTAGATAGTGGTAGAACTTTATATGCTGACAATTTTTATTCTGGCATTCCTCTTGTAAAGGAGTTATTAGATCGGCAATCTTTGTATTGTGGTACACTCAGGAAAAATAGGAGGGGCCTACCAAGAGAAATCACTAACAAGAAACTGAAGAAAAATGAGATATGTGGACTAGAGAATCAGCA